TTGGGCCACTTTTGGATGGCATCTATCTTTTCTAGGTCTGCCATGACCCGCCCTACTACAACCACATGGCCTAAGTACTGAATCTGTTTTTGTCCAAAGGAACACTTTGTCATTTCGGCATGTAACTAGTGCTCCCTTAGAGTTGTGAGGGTAAGTTTCAGATGTTCCATATGGGTGTCCCAATCCCTGCTGTAAACCAGAATGTCATCGAAAAACACCAGAATAAATCGCCTTAGGAATGGCTTGAAAATGTCATTCATGAGGGCCTGAAAGGTGGAGGGGGAGCGTTGGTGAGTCCAAACGGCATAACCAGAAACTCATAATGGCCATCATGGATTCTAAAGGCTGTCTTGTGGATGTCGGCCTGGTGAACCCGGATCTGATGATACTCGGACCGCAGGTCTAGTTTGGAGAACACTTGTGCTTCCCCTAACTCGTCCAGCAGTTCATCAATGAGGGGTATCAGAAACTTGTCCTTCACTGTAATCTGATTCAGGGCCCGGTAATCTATGCAAAAACGCCAACTACCATCCTTCTTCTTCACTAGAAGTACAAGGGATGAAAAGGGGCTGGTGTTGGTCTATATATGCCCTTTGTCCAATAGCTCTCTTACTGCCTTCTCAATTTCCAGCTTCTGGAAAATAAGGGTATCTATATGGCCTCACATTGGCCGATTTGGAATCTGGTAAGAGGGGTATCTGATGGTCATGGGCCCGGGGTATCTGATCGAGTATCGATCATAAGGCCTCGTGTTGGGCTTCCGTGGGTTGGTCACAACCCTGATTGTTTAAAATTGGGACTATGGGCCGAATGCCTAAGTGCATAAATAAGGGTTGTCCAGCATCCTTGGAGGCCCGTGTCATGGAAGCTAAAGTATCACCTTGGGGACTAGGGGGTCGCACCCCTTGTAAATGACAAGTCTGACCATCTTGGTAAAAATCCATTGTCATTTTGGCCTAATCACAAAGTGCAGGACCTAGGCCACGTAACCAATGAATTCCCAAAATAATATCAGCCCYCGAGAAATCCAATGGGTGGAGATCTACCACGAAATTATGGCCCTGTATGAGGATCTTTTCCTTCTTACATACACCATTACATAACATCTAACTCCCATTAGCCATATGGATCGAAAAGAGAGGAGTGGGTTGTATAGTCATACCTAGTTGCTTTGCCAAACGGCAAGTGATGAAATTCAGGGTAGAGCCACTATCAATCAAGATCATCACAGACCGGCCAACCAATCTTCCTTCTACTCGCATGGACTGAAGAGGGTTGAGGCCCATGAGAGCGTGTAAGGAGATCTCAGCTCTGACAGGTTCTGGTTCGTCTGATATCAGTTCACAGTCTTCTATGAGATCTCAGCTCTGACAGGTTCTGGTTCGTCTGATATCAGTTCACAGTCTTCTATGTGCTCTGGTTCTGTCCCTTCCGGCTCTTCCTCTGTCTGAAGGAGAAACACTCGCTGGACCCGGCACTTATGGCCCAGCCCAAACTTGTCATCATAGTTGTAACAGAGGCCCTTCTCTCGTCGGGCCTACATCTCAGCCCATGAGAGGCGTTTGAAGGGCATAGTGGGCCTAGGCAAAATGGGCTTCTGAGAATCCCCAACTTGTTTCATGGGTTGTTGGTCGGCCCATTGGGTAACCCTCACATTTGGGTAGGACAGCTTGCTGGCTTTGCACAGGTTGTCGATTTTCTCTTCTTGCAGGCGAGCCAAACCCACCGCAGCCATGACTGTCGCCGGACGGAGAGCCCTCACCTCCAAGCAGATATCCTCTCTGAGGCCTCCCACAAAACACCCCACTAAGGCCTTTTCCGGCCATCCATGTACCATGGTCGCCATTCTCTCGAACTCGAGCTGGTAGTCTGCTACCGTCCCAGTCTGCCTTAATCGAGTGAGGAGTTCGTCGTAATCCACGAACGTCATCGGCTCAAAACGGATGCACAGAGCTTCAGTGAACTCCACCCAAGTTACCTGAGGATGGTTTTGACGATACCACTGGAGCCATAGAATCGCGTCTCCTTCTAGGTGAATGGAAGCAATGGAGACGCGCTGGTGTGCAGGGGTTTCGTGGTACTCGAAAAATCTTTCTACTCTGAAGATCCAAGGAATGGGATCTCCACCGGAATAGTTGGGAAAGTTGATCTTAGTGACTTTTTCGGTGGGGTAACACCCAGTTCTTTGGCTGCTGGAAGCAGAGGCTTCCGCCCCTGTTGGGTGACTAGTCTCRCCGGATTGTTGCTGAGAGGCGATGCTGGAGACGACCACTTTGAGTTCCCCGAGTTCGTTCAGCACCTAGTGGAACCCAATTTCAAGCTGGTCGACTCTATCATCCATGGTAGAGGAACGTGTTTGTGGCATAGCTGGCCTGCGATCTGGATAGCCTGGCTCTGATACCAAACTGATGAGTTACCGCTCACCTCGGAAGCCCCTTCGAGGGTGGCTTAACCTCCTGAAACAGAAGATGAAGGGAAAGAAGAGAAGGGAAGGTAGGAAGAGGATGGACTCAGAGAGAGAAAACGAAGGGATATTCATTCACACCTTTTATTATATGATTATGGCCTTATATAGCTGGCCTACAGGTGTAATCATAGAGGGAATATCCTCTTATTGCAGGGTAACTAACTCTGGAAAATATCATGGAGGGAATATCCTCTGGCTGCAGAGTAACCAACTCTGAGTGTAACTAACTCTGGGGCTCTGTTGCGTGTCCTTCCTGTCTCCTTGTGAACTGCTGATGGGTGGTGGTCTACTCCACTCCCATAGTTGGGTTCGGGGGGAGTGTTTGGGTCCCAACAAACAATTTGTTTCTTCTTTCTTTTCTTGACCAGTAATCGTTTCTTCTTTCTTTTTCGGTCAGTAATTGTTTCTTCTTTCCTTCTTGGTGATGGTTTGTGTATCAGCATATGTTTGAACTCTGAAGGATATAAAGTATCTGAAACTGGGAGCCTTACTTGGAAAGTGGTTTTGGAGGTATGGTCAACAAGGGAATTGCTTGTGGAAGAGAGTAATTGAAGCACAATATGGTTCAAGAAATGAAGATTGGGTTCCTGGAGGTGCCAACCARTCATATGGTTGCTCGGTTTGGAAGGGAATTGAAAAAAGTTACAATGCTTTTAGCAAGGAAATCAAGTTTGTTGTGGGGAGAGGTAAATAGAGTTAATTTCTGGATGGATGAATGGTGTGGAAACAATAGGCTAATGGATGATTTCCCTGAGTGATTTGCAATTGCATCAAACAAGGAAGCTAAAGTGGCTGATTATGTCCAGTTCCAAAATGGGATGATAATCTGGAATCCTACTTTCAGAAGGACTTTGAATGATTGGGAGATTGAACCATTAGGTAAGCTTTTTCAAAGGTTGTACAACAACCAAATAGATGTCAATGCAGCAGACAAAAGGGTCTGGTTAGCAGAGAGCAAAGGCCAATTCTCGGTGAAATCTTTCTACACCAAACTGGTCCAGGAGGAAGAAGGTATGTTTTTCCCTGCGCATTTAATCTGGACTGCCTATTTAAATAAGTTTCCCACAAGAGACAACTTGGTTAATAGGGGTGTGGTGATTGACTCTAAAAGGTGTGTCTTGTGCAACAATGATGAGGAGTCTGTTGATCACCTGTTTCTTCATTGTGGCTTCACCCACAAAATTTGGGTGAGGATTCTCAGAATTTTTGCAATCAGAAGTTGCTGGCCGAAGTCTTTGGCGACTTTTGTCAACAGCTGGAATTTACAAGGCCTAAGCAAGAAAGGGAAATGGTTATGGCACCTGATTCCAGGTACAGTGTTATGGGTGATCTGGCAAGAAAAAAACTCAAGGATATTTCAAAACAAAAGCTGTCAAGAAGACGAAGTGTGGCAGAAGATCGTGGGGAAGCTCTGTTCTTGGTCATCGACTAAGTTTAAAGTTGACAGTTCTTTTTGTAGCTCTCTGTTTAATTTTGAAAGTCTGTTTGTATCCCCCAATGGTTTTGTGGTTTGAATCTATTCTTGTATCTCATTTGTACAGCCTCTGGTTGTACTTTTCTTTTTGAATAAATTGATACTTCTTATCAAAAAAAAAAAGTATCTGAAACTGGGACTAAGTTGGTGTTTAATAACAGATGAACTAGGAGATGCATGCCAAAAAATATTCCAAATTGAAAATTGATCTTTACAGCATTTAGTAACTTGCACCTCCATAATGCTGAATGCTGAAAATATCCAAATGCTAGGGTGACCATTTTACCCTAAACGTTTTATTATAGAACAACAATATAACTAGGGTATTTTCAGATTTTAATCTTTTCGGCATTCAGCCCTTAGTTCATCCATTATCAAATACCACATATTCCTCTTGAAGCTAGAAACTGCATCTTGTGGGATGTGGTTTCATTTGCAGTGCATTTGAGAGTAATAAGGAGTGCGATAAGATATTCTTTTCTGGATCTGGCTGTGCACTGAGAAGATTATATGTAGATGTTAGGATGTTTCTGCTTGAGTAGGCTCCTACCTTAATGGAGTTCGAAAAGTGCATCACATTTCTTTTGCAAGGAAATGCAAATAGGAAGGGGAAGATGTGTAGTCTCCTGTGTAAGATAACTTTCTACATTGGGATATACAACCATTGCAACAGTTTACACAAATGCAGTGACTTTCTTTTAAACTCCTAATATTTTTATGGTTCTTGCTTATATGAGCAGCTATTTTCTTAGGAAAAAAAGGTAACTGATGAAGATTAAGCTTTACTCCTCAAGGCTTAATTCCCAGGCATCCAAAGGTCCTGGTGAAAGTTGTACGCTGTCCAATACCTGGTGCCGCACTCAAGGCCTTGACATTTTTAAACATTGATTAGAACAAATAAGCTCCTCAGGAAAGACCAAGTGCTGTAACGTAAGTACGTAAAATTCACACTATCATGTTGGCTATGAATCTGGCAAAAACCTTCCCAATCAAAAGAGGTCTGAAGAAATTACTATAGCATGATATGAGGAGCTACATTTCTTAAAGGTAAAGAATTACCTTGCTGGGTTTCTTTTCTTCCTTAGAATTCAACATACTTGAGAGAAGTTCAACACTATTCCGGGTGACAACCAGAAATTCTTTCTTTTCTTCCACTGAAAGGCTGCCCCTGTGATAGGCAATAGTAGAATGATCTATGCTATGTGGATCCATGTCAGGAATGGGATATGCCTCTGGAGGTACCAGCACTTGCTGATCAATATCTGACTCCTGGGAAGAAAATAGAGGTGCCAAATTTGCATCACCTTGTACTGAAGGTAGAGTACCTCTTGTCTTCAAACTCTGTAAATGAAAATTAAATAAAAAAAAAAAAGGAAAACCCATATAGTTAGTTCTAAGAATAATGCATATGAACTGTTCAAACTAACAGTAATGTAAAATGCAGTGATAATAGATTTGCAGAACTTTCATAATCAACATTGATTGAGGGTACTAGCCATAGGTAACACCTTAATTCCTAAATAACACCTAAAATTTTTAGCAAGCATAATGACAGTATATTTAAGAAGACTGGACTTGTCAATAAAATTTGCAGCTTCTACATGTTATGACTATCCTTGTTGCTATTCCATGGCTAAAGGAAATAAAAGCCTTTTGCCCAATGTTGGTCACAACTATCTGGGGTCTTGGGAGGGGTGAACTGGATATCGTCCTAACCTTTGGATTTTTATTTTTTTTTTTTTGCACAAAGTGGCTGCTCTCAGACTCGAACCCACATTCTCACACCTGACAGCCCAAGATTTTGCAATGGAATTAGTGTTTTCCTTTTTTCCATAAGTAACTGAGAATGCTCTTCACTGCCACTAGAAGAAAGACAATACCAAAACAAACCTCATTTCCTAGAGAGACTAGGTACTGTATGTATCATACAACACCACAGGATGGATAACCCCCCAATACAAAATACTCCTCCCTGCCTGTCCCTCAACAAAACCATCTTGTAGCAAATTGGTGATCGTGACATTCCTCTGAGGTTTTCACTCTGGATGCCAAAGGTTTTACTTCTTTGATATGATGATAGTGACCAGGGGCCCTAATAATCATCTCACACCCAACCAATCGCCACCAAGTAAAATCAAATAAGAAAAAATTGGTCATATTCGTTTTTGTTCTTTTCCTTTTTATTTCTGTAGTGTCAACTCAGGATTCAGGAGCACATTGCCATTATATTTTCTTCTTCCTTGCAACCACATATGTTTTCACCAAATGATCTAGCAAAACATTAAAAACAATACCAGTAAAACTAATAGGGAAGTTAGAAGTTATACACTTCCCTGCATTTCTCACATACTTTACCATGAGCCCACTGGACATCACTTTCGCAGGCACCCCAGCATGAATGCCAATAGGTTTCATGAGTCAGGTAATCACTTTGATCTCCATGGTCATTGGTCCCATTTTATTATGCACAATCAATGATCAAAATATTTTCCAGAAAATTACAGACCACACCATTTTTCACATAAGGTCAATAAGCTAAGGTTTTGTAGCTTGACCACTCATATTAAAGTGTTTTGTGGTTTGTTATAATGCCTGCCGCCTCTATCTTTTATTATTTGTTTCGTTTTCTTTCCACATAAATCAAACCTTACTTTTCCGTTCCTTTGGCCTTTTCCTAGAAATGTATCGACTTACTGGGTAACTAGGTTCTGCTAACATGAATTGCCTGTTCCATGGAATTTAATCATGGGAAAACCAACAGTAAGCAACAAGTGGAGAAAAAATAAACGCCTTACAGTTTCCAAAACTTCAAATAGTGAGAAACTGAGAGAATGTCTTAGTCTTTAAGCACCCCAACAAAGTCATTAACTTGAATGCTGTCACTTCATTTCATTTCAATATAATTGCACTATGATAACGACAAGTTCACGTGTGGAATATGGACATCAAAATACAATAGTACATATAGCAAATTGATCCATGTCAATTCGCCATTGAATTAGGTACTAGAACTTAGCTCACAAAAGAAACTTATAAATGAAATTTGTGCCAAGTGGGTAAAAACAAAAATAGAAAATCAATACACGAAAAAGAAAGATGACAGTGTAAGCAAAAGATAACAAGAGTCTAAGGTTCTTTTTGTCTGTTTTAATACTCTTTCCCTCGTCTGGATGCGGAGCTCCCCTGAACAAAATTGCTGTTCCTAGGTTCGTTTCAAGAATTATAAACAAAGGTATGATAGGAGGAACTGCAGGGAAGAGAAGGAGAAAGAGATGGAGAAGAGATTGCGGAGCTTACCATATAAGTCTGGTGGAACACGGGCAGATAAGCAAGATCTTCAGACTCGCCCCATGCCTGAATTAGCCCCAAAGCTCTCTGCCTATTGGCGTGATGAGTCTGCGGATTATCAATCATCCTAACAATCTCATCCAACAGCTTCTCCGACGCCACTTCTGAGAAAACTTTCTCACAGTTCATGGCACAAGCCTCCAACAAATCAAGACTCAATCTTTGGCTCACCGTATTCTTACTAGCAATCCTCTTCTTTATAGCCCTCACAACTTCCATACCACTAAATTCTTCGCTATTAAGCATCGCGCATATCCTCAAATTTAAGCCCCAATTAGGCTCCTCCAAGCTATCGGAAGTAGCTTCTTCGACCATCTTCGACTCAGGTGTCTGAGATTGAAGGATTTCCTTCATTTTCCCACTAACTAATCTACCCATTTGGGCACCACTGCTCTTCAACCGCTCACCCAATGCCGCTAACTTCAATTTATCCATTTCTTACTAGAACCTCCGTACACGAATTCAACAGCAACCCCAGATCACAGTCTAATTCAGACTCCCTAGACCCCAGCAGACTCAAGCTCTGCTAGAACTTTGAAACCACGGTAGCTAAATGGAATATAGCAGAACGACCATGTTCAGATACTGAGGAACCCTGATCCTCCAAAAGAGAAAACCCCTAACTTAAACCGAATCTAATCTCATCGAGAACTTTAAACAGTTGAGATTTTTCCCTTTGGACTGTCGCCGTGTCAAAACAATCGATCTCCTTTTTCTCTGGTTTTGTAGGTCGCGCTCGCACAAGTCGCAAGTCCAAAGCTTTGAATCGGCCCTTCGTACGGTTAGCGGACAAGTACGTGGCGAGTCATGAGGAGTTCGGATCAGCTACCAACATGAGTCATCCCAATAACGGCCCAACCACCCATACAGCCGTACATCAGGAGCATGTCCGAAGATATTCCCGATTTGCGGCTGCAGTGGTATATTGGGATAGAATTGGGAGCGTTTGTTTGTAGCAGATACTTACTAAGTGCATGAGCGCCGGTGCCATACTGCCAATCTGCCATCTCGTAAGTCGTGACTCGTGAGTCGTGACTGGAGCAAAGCCTATCGACAAAACTTTTGGGCCTTCGGCTGTTGGGAACGTTTTCAGACATGACACGTTAACCGATTCAGTCCTCTGCTTGTCTTTTTCTTGATCGAATATTGAATGCGATTACTCTTTTACCCTAATTCCATTGCGACGTGTCATGCCTACCCAACACCCAAATTTTTCCTAGCCTAGCTCTAGCCTCTAGGATGTCAACGGACTCTGAAGTCCGACATCCAATCCGATTGTGTATTAACTCGAACAATCCGTTTACATAATCCGATTTTGCGACCACATGGTCCACATCCCATTACTAAATAGATCGAACGTGAATATGATGTAATTAAAATCTGAATTCCATTATAATATAGGTTAAAAGATTTAAACGAGGTTTCTCATAAATACTAACACCTCCCCTTGATAGGATTTAAGCCTCTGATTTTTGTAAGAACTACTTCTTAATCCTACGAAAATCATATTACATACTGAAACATAGCTTCTAATTATGTCATTCAAATAAATAGATAGGAATCACTTGTCTTTCAATTCCAATGCACCAATGCTCTATATGCACTCTCGATCTATATCATTGAAGAAGAAAAAGTCAAAAGAATAGAGGGTGAAAGACTCAACAACCATTCTGATTCTGCAGTTCTTTGGTTAGTGTCAATAGTCTTGTCCCTGGAACATCCTACAGTTCCAGGGATTCCCATCATGAATTGTTCTTCAACCTACTACTTAGAGTTTTCTTGTTCGTGTGAACAATGCTACTAGGATTGTTGGATGTAAGTGTTATTGTTTGTGAGAAATTACACCATGGATTCCGTCTTTTAGTTTTAGTTTGGTAGAAGAAATTCATTGGATGTATACAGCTACTTTCTGTTAGACAGTTTATGTATGCGAATTTTGAGAATTTTGGGATACCTTCTGCGAATTTTGAGATCAGATCTCATACTCTCCAGAAAATGAGAAAAAGTAGTTCAGCTTTTTCGGTTTTGGTTCTCTCCTCCTGCCGCTGCCATCTGTCATTGCAAGATTGGATCTTTGCAGAAAAGAAGGTCAAGAAATCTGTTCTTGACATCAGTCTTGCAAGAAAGAMTGRAAADGWTWCAGTGTTYAGTWCTTCYAGAGGATTCTTGTGAAGGATCCAGTGTGTAGGACGCACCCTGCTGGTTCTGTTCCATC